ATTTTCAGAACTAGATAATGCATTGAATGGGCAAAAGAGTAGAACTGAATCAATGGAAGACAGAATTAGTGAGACTGAAGGCAGATACCTCAATACTTCTTTGGAAAGGGAACAATCTGAAAAAAGATCAAAACAAAATGAAGAAAGCCTAAGGTTCACGTGGGATACCATCAATAGGAATAACCTATGTGTAATCAGAATTCCAGAACAGGAAGAGACAAATAAAACTGCAGAAAAAATTGTTGAAGATTTGTTGGAAGATAATTTTCCTGGTATAATGAAAAATAAGAATATATCCATTCAAGAAGTCCAATGAACCCCAAACAGGATAGAACCCAAAAGAAAATCAGCAAGATATATCATCATCTAACTCACCAAAACCAAAGACAAAGAAAGAATCCTAAAAGCAGCATGAGCTAAACAAAAAGTTACCTACAAGGGTCAACCCATACAAATAAGCTCAGATATCTCAGCAGAAACCATGCAGGCGAGAAGATAGTGGGATGGCATATATAAGAAAAGAGAGAGAAAAAATTTCCAACCAAGAATTATAAACCTGGCAAAATAGTGCCTCAAATATGACGGTGAAATTAGGAGATTTCCAGATAAGGAGAAATTACTGGAATTTGTTAAAACCAGACCAGTCTTACAAGAGATGCTAAAGGAAGTCCTTTCATCAGAGAACCTATAACAACAAACAACAACTGACCATTAACACACCTGATGACATAACCCAAAAACCAATCCAGAAATAGAAATATCCGAAGTAAATAAGCCTACAAGATTGTAAACAGGAAACCAGGGACATCAATTGACAAATGAAGACAACTATAAATGAAAAAGAGGGAAAGAACTGTGGTTACAGAACTTCTAAATGGTAGGGAAGTGAAGACAACTACAAACTAGAATGGACTGTTCTAAACTTGGGAAGAAATTATAAATCACAGGGTAACCTTAAAGAAAAATGATAAACCTTCACATCAAAATTAAAAGAGGACCAGTACAAATATTTAGCAAATAATAAAACAATAGCAACCAAGAAAGTCATAACACAATTCAGAAAATGAGCTCACCACAGAAAATTATATGGAACAAAGAAATCAACACCACAAAAAAGCACATAACAAAATGACATCAACAACTTCATACTTGTCGATAATTACATATCTGACAAGGGACTTGTTCTGGTTACCTAGTGCCACTCTGACAAGAATATACTACAAATTGGGTGGCCTTAACAAACAAGAATTTATTCTCTTACAGTTTGGAGGCTTTAAATCTAAGTTCAATGTGCCAGGCTCTAGGGGCTGTGTGAAAGCCCCTCAACCTTGGGCTTCAGCTCTACCTCTTGCTCCTGGCCCACTGAAGCTAGAGGCATCTCTTCACTCAGGCAGCAACTGGCTGCTGAGGCTAACAAGTTCAAGGTCAACAAATAAAATGGCACAGTCCCAATGTTACCAAACACACGGCAGGTCATTAATTCAAGTCCATTGTAAGTCACAAGGTCAGCAGAGCATGGCAGGCTGCTAAACAATGACACGGCTACATGCAGGATCCAAGCATGCCATAAGCTAGAGACTATCCCTAAGGCTTCTTCTTATATGCAGGAAGCAGATCACATCCCAAAGGCAGCTAATCAGCTGCTTGTGGTAGATCCCACCCTGGAGTTGATTGCCAGTCTCATCATGGGGAATAACTACCACCAGCTTCCCAGCCACTCAACCAGGCCCAGCCAAGTTGACATACAAATTTAACTATCACAGACTTATCTGTAAAATTTATAGAAAATTCCAACACCTCAACAACAAAAAGATTAACAATCCAATGGAAAAATGGGCACTAGACATGAATGAACACTTCACCAAGGAGGATATTCAGGTGGCCAGCAAATACATGAAGAAATATTAACCATCAGAGAGATACAAACCAAAACAATAATGAGATACCATCTTACCCCAGCACTAATGGCAAAGTTCAACAAGACAGAAAATAATAAATGCTGGTGAGGATGTGGAGAGATTGGGACTCTCATACATTGTTGGTGGGACTGTCAAATGATAAAACCACTGTGGAAAACAGTATGGTGATTCCTTAAAAAGCTAGAATTAGAAATAACATTTGACCCAGCAATCTCATTACTAGGCATATATCCTAAAGAAGTGAGAGCCAGGACAAGAACAGACATATGCACACCCATGTTCATTGCAGCACTAGTTACAATAGTAAAAAGATGGAAACAACCTACATGCACATCAACAGAAGAATAGATAACCAAACTGTGGTACATACACACAATGGAATGCAATGCAGCCCTAAAGAATAATGTGGAATCTGCAAAACACCATATAACATAGATGATGTTGGAGGAAATTATGCTAAGTGAAAGAAGTCAATCACAGATGAACAAATATAGTATTAGTTCATTATTGTAAAAAGTCAAAAAGTGGTTTATATATGGAAGGGAGCTTTCTTTGTTGGTTACCAGGGGTGGGAGGGGAGGGGAGGGAACACTGAAAAAAATAAATAAATAAAAGAAAGAAATGCATTGACCCATATCACTTTAGTTTTGTGTATTTCACTGTACATGTGCATAAATTATAATTCAATAAAATGCATTTTTTTTAAAGTGAAAATAGTGAAAACAACAATAATAAAGTCTACTGAGACAATTTGAAGTTTCTTGCAAGTTGAGACTGAATCTCTGTGGATTAATGCTGATTGTCCTCTCTGTATCCTGGAAATTTTTAACTCTATTTCTACTTATTAATATGTCCCTAGTTCTTCTTGTGAATTTAGTTACTCTTGTCTCCTTGTTATAATGGCTATGGACTGTTATTTTGCTATTCTGTAAGCAATAGAGGCAAGAGAGTTTCTGAACATACATATTGTAGGTCCCATATGGCCTGGAAGAAGCTCTGGTGGTGTTGTGGTCAAGGCATGGGTCTAATTACCAAAAGGTTGGTGGTTCAAACCCACTAGCTGTTCCTTGGGAGAAAATGAGGCAGTCTGCTTCTGTAAAGATTTAGAGCCTTTCAAACCCAATGGGAGTTGCTATGATTCAGAATTGACTTGAAGGCAGTGGGATATGGCATGCAGACTCATGAGAAAATGCCAGGTTTGGCTTATCACTGGATAGCAGCACATAGCATGACCAAAGAGTGAGGACAGGGTTGAGCAAGATAGTGGCAGAACTTTATATGATCAGTGTTTCATTGTTATTGTTACTGTCCTTATCTTGAGAAAAATGATGTGCTTACCACTGTCACAGAGCCCATACAATCATAGATTACATTTCATAATTTCACATATATACTTCTTTGTGTTAAATTATTTTCAAGCAGTTATCATTTTCATGTTCTGTATTAACAGAAACATGTGGGAGACATAAAGAGTTGTCATGACCTGAAGGAAAATAAACCTTTCCTCCCTTCCCCATAAGGCTTTTGATCAAGGAAGTACTTTAGGGCTACTCATGTTAAGATGACTCCTCTCTACCTGAAACTATATGCATTCAGGACGATTTCAGGATCAAAAACTAAAACAACATGTGGGTAATGTGTATGTTTTCAAAGTGCACTCATGTAATATTTGTTTTCATTTGTTTCTCTAAACAACCCTGTCAGGTATCAGAAGTATATGTATACTATGTCTGAGAAAATGTCCTTCAATTGCCATGGACAATATCAACTTATTATTGTTGTCCCAGAATAATTATTAATAGCATCCCCTCTTACCCTTAAATGTACTCCAATTTACATGATAAAATGTATGGTCATACTAATTATCCTCACTGGACAGATGAATTAGAATATTCCTGGAATGTAAGCAGACAATTATTTTTGCTATTCATTGTCTTCAGCAAGGAAGCTAAGGTTCAGGGTTCCTGTGTGAAAGAAGTTTTAAATAATACTATCTCAGCTTAAATGTCATGGTCTTTCCATAATTGCTTATTTGTGGCCAGACATCAAGTATAAAGTCCAGTAGGTACTGGGTCATTGTATTCATAAAATTTCATTAAAGAAACTGAATCTCAGGATGATTAAGTAACACAGTAAAATTTGAAGCTGTTTCTTTTTGCCTTAAATACCTTGCTTTCTGCATTCTGCCATGTTTGTTGTTAGGCATCAATGTGAAATCTTCCTTGTTGCTCTGTTGTAAGGATCTTGTACCCAAGAGTTCTAGCATATTGATGTTTAGCAAGTTGATTTCTGCTTATCTAATTGATTGTCTAAATCTAAAAGCAGAAATACTTGCATTTCCACTCCCTTTTGTGATCTGGGTGTGTATGTACATGCATGCATATCTGTATATGTATGTGTATGTATGGTACATTAGGGATGCAATAATCAAGTCTACTCTTCAAGGCTTAGTCTAAATGATTCCCTTCAAGGCTTTATCTAAATGATTCCTTGAGATTGTTGTTGTTGCTGTTGTTGTTGTTCTGTGCCGTCGAGTTGGACCCGACTCATAGTGACCCCTCCTTGGGTTGCCAAGGCAGTATCACTACAGAAGTAGATTGCCCAACCTTCCTTCCAAGGAGTGGCTGGTGGGTTTGAACCACCAGCCTTCCAGTTAGCAGTCAAGTGCCTTAGGCACTATGCTACCAGAGCTCCTTCCTTGAGATTAGAAAGGATTAATATTCACCCAAGATGCCATACTCTGATCCCAAAGTGAGACTGCTTGGCAAGATTCAGGTGGTGTAAATGTCAAAATTATGAATCACTTATCAAGGACCAGTAATTCTCTAGTTACTGTGCTTATGTTCAGATAGCAACACAAACTTTTAAACTAGTCCATTGGGGAACAAAAGAAAAGTTGATGATGGAAGGGGTAAGGAGAAGAGACTGAGGAGATAAGTAGAGAACTAATATCATTCTTATGAATCTCAACTTTGAAATGGCATAATTCTCTGCAGACATAAGCAATTTATACCTCATTTTCTAAGTTTATCCCTTTGCTATTTTTCTTCGTCTCACCACACTTCTTTGCTTCTCCTGCAGCGGTTGGTTTTGTAAGTGAGGATGAATACTTGGAAATCCAGGGCATCACTCGGGAGCAGTCAGGAGACTATGAGTGCAGTGCTTCCAATGACGTGTCCGCACCTGTGGTACGGAGAGTGAAGGTCACCGTGAACTGTAAGTGTCCTGCTTTACCCTGTGTGTGCCTGAGGTTGGCATGCTGCTGTTGCAATAACAGGGAGAGCTACTTCATAGAGCTAATTGTTAACTTAGAGTGGCAAATAAATTATCATTTTTTTCACATTCTGCTTTCAAGAGCAACAAATCCAAATTCTAGTTTTTGGTATCTCAAATGTCATGGTGTCATATTAAAAGAAAAAAAAATCATAGCTGAAAGTAGTTTAATATAATCTCAAATTTGGAAGTTCTTTAAATGAAATCCAATGCATAATTTACATAAACTTGTCTTCAAATCCCAAATTCTCCCATAATTTACTCACATTCTTCAGCTGTCAACCTTCTCTCTGTCTAGACCATTTATGGAATCACCATAAATGGTACAAAAACCATGTATTGAGCTATAAAAAGGAAATATTACAACTTCTATTTATGCTATATTCATTTTACTTTATCTTTTAGCAATCACATATGTTGATGCACAAAGCATACATATAATTTAAATATAATTTTACAAGTATTCCTATATTGGGGATATAGCTCAAAAAAAGTTCTTACTATTGTTTGTTATTGTGTGCCATTGAATCCATTCCAACCCATAGTGACCCTATATGATGAAATAGAACTGCATCATAGGTTCTTCTAGGCTTTGGTCCTTATAGAAGCAGATCATGAGTTCTTTTCACCTGCGGAGCCTCTGGGTGGGTTCAAATCTATAACCTTCAGTTAGTTAGTAAGTTAGTACTTAACTATTGTGCCGAGTCTTTTTTTCTTACTAATAACCCACTGTCATTAAGTTGATTCCAACCCATAATGATCCTATAGTACAGAGTACAACTGCCCCATAAATCTTTACAGAAGCAGACTGCCTCACCTTTCTCCTGCAGAACAGCTGGTGGGTTCGAACCACCATATTTTTGGTTAGCAGCCCAATGTTCTAACCACTGTGCAACCAGAGCCCCTTTGTCTTACTAATAAAAGCATCCTTTTTCTTACTAATAAAAACATCCTTTTTCTTACTAATAGAGGTACAGGATCCAAAAAAAAAAAAAAAACCCAAAAACTGTGTTCTCAACCACTCAATCTCCTTTATCAGTTTTCCAAATCCCTTCTGAAATCCAGCCCACTCAACTTTTCTCTCTCATCCTTTCTACACTCAGTTCTTCAATGTACACTGACTAAGTTCTTTATGACATTCTAGAATGTTTTATTCTATGCTGTGCTCATTTCTTGAATTCTTAGAACGGAATAGTGACCAATTGCTAACCCAGCAAATAAGAAACCTTTCTCCTTTTAAACGTGGATGGGTGGAAGTAAATAAATGCTATTTTGTATATGTCAATACTCATTCTTTAATTATTTCCTGTTATACTTCAATATGTCTGTTTCTGTTACAATTTGAGCCTAGTTAGTAAGAAGCACTTAAGCAGGGAAATAGACTATGGGGTTGGAATACAATTACATAAAATTTAAGTGGGGATTACAGTGCTACTATTTTTAATACTCTATCCATTAAAAGGAGCTCTGGTGGCATAGTGCCTAAGGCATTTGACTGCTAGCCAGAAAGCTGGTGGTTCAAACCCACCAGCCACTCATTGGAAGGAAGGTTGGGCAATCTATTTCCATAGTGATACCACCTCAGAAACCGAAGAAAGGGTCTCTATGAATCGGATCCAACTTAACATCAGGGAATGAGTGAATGTGACTGATCTGTTAAAAATAAGGAGCTCCAGTGGTGTAGTGGTTAAGTGCTTGGTGGCTAGCCAGAAGTTCAGCAGTTGGAACCCACCAGCTGCTCCATGGGAGAAAGATGTGGCAGTCTGTTTTTATAAAGATTATAGCTTTGGAAACACTATGGGACAATTCTACTCTGTCTGTCATATAGGGTTGCTATGGGTCAGAATCAACTCAACAGTAATAGGTTGTCCAATTAAATTTTTTAAAACAAAAATAAACAAGCCAAACTTAAGATGACTTACAGTTCATAAAGATTAACCTAAAACATTAGGTAGTGGAAGGTCCAAAACCACCAAACCAGACTCACCACCAATAAATAGATTTTGACTCATAGTGACCCATATAAGGTTTCCAAGGCTGTAAATCTTTATAGAAGTGGATTGCTTTATATTCCTCCTGCACAGCAGCTGGTGGCTTTCAACCACTAATCTTCTGGTTACCAGCCAAATTCCTTACCTACTACACCATCATGGCTACTTAATGGAAGATCATATACAGGAAAATAATCAAAAGCCAATGATAAATGAGAACACAAAATGCATGCCAATATCCATCGCTAGATGCAGGTCCAGAATTTGGCTTTGAACTGTTAAAGCAAAGAAAGGAAAGATTATCTGCTTTAAGATTTACTTACCAAGTGAGTTTCCTCAGAGAAATACTGCTTTTCTTGGTACTGAGACCCCAGAGAAGTTCCTCTTTGGGATCTCCACAAAAGTGTACTATGAAATACAGTCAACTGTATCTTGTATAGTATTCCTGCAATAAATTGATTAGAAAGTTTGTTATGCTTATTTTTCATAACGTTCTTTACTTAATGTAAACTGTTGGATTGACACAGGTAGTTTGGGAAAGACTTCAAATGAATGCAAACCAAGTATGCATGTCTAGTTTGGGCTGGCTTGATTAGGAGATCCATTTTAGAATACCTAGAAAAATTACTGATCTGTATATCCTTCAGGCAATTCTCTCTGATTAATATTACTTGCACCTGAGTTTTTGATGGAAATTAAACAGTTTGAGGCTATGTGCTCTGGCAAGAACCTGGTGTGCAGAAATTAAAATCTCTGACTGTCATTTTATGATGGGTTGATATCATTCTATGAACATTAAAGAGTTTAAATGGGAAGTATGCCTAAACACCTGATCATTCCACCTCTGTACAGAGAAGAACTGCCTGCTAGAAAGACCAAGCTTTTACTTTGAAAACAATGGAGTTAAAATCTTACAATAATGAAAAATCTTCCATTCTCTGGCACAGTTGTAAAATGAATTCACATTACAAGTAAGCAGAAATAGGGCAGGGACTAAAGAACAAAATCAGTGAATGAGGCCAGCTCTTCATTCTTAAATGCATTTTTAAATAATACTGGATGTTTTCTCTCTGCAGATCCACCATACATTTCAGAAGCTAAGGGCACAGGTGTTCCTGTGGGACAAAAGGGGACATTGCAGTGTGAAGCCTCAGCAGTACCCCTGGCAGAATTCCAGTGGTACAAGGATGACAAAAGGTAAAGGCTCTCTCCTTACCCCATTAGAGCAGAAAACTTTGCCAAGTCCTGAAACCAGAGGGTTGCACATGAATTCCTATAAAATCCTTTTCTGAATTCCTCCTATTTAAAAGAAAAGTATGTATTGGGGGAGTATAAGTTTTCAATATTTTGGCTAGGTTTCTCTTGTTGTCATGCAGAATCATCACTTGCCAAACAACTAGACTGAAAGAAAACTTTTTTTTTTTTTTTAAGGAAAGCAAAATCTCAAAGGAAAGGCCACTAAAAATATTGTGAGGCCTATGAATGTTTTCAAGGACAAGAAAATAATATGTTCTGCCTGCAAATATTTCTGACATACTCTCAAACTTGCATTAAGGGGAGATTGAATCTCTCCAGGCCCAATTGTAGTTAAGAAGTTAGCTGGCAGTGGATAAAAGAGACATGACCTGATTTATCCCTCCTTTGTGCCCTGCTTGTTCTTTCATTGTTGGAACAAAGAGGGGGTCTCCTCCCTTTCTTCCCATTGTTACAGCCATCATCAGGGCATTTGTTGTGATTCACTGATGGTTATCATTGCAAGAAGTTATAGAATGGCAAGTCAACACAGAGCTCCACAGATTCCTACCTCCAGGCAACATGACAATCACTGTTATCAACAACTATTTTAAGGTGCATGGGCAGCAAATGAATATTTGAGGGCTGTCTATCTTTAGAACATTTTCATAAAAATGTGGGTGTGATGGAAGGAAGCAAAAAATTCCTGAAGTGTTTAGGGGGTAGAGAAGGATTAAGGAATTTGAGAAGCTGAGAAAGATAAACAACAAGAAAAGTAATTCCAAGAAGGAGAAAAGTGAGAGAGATTTCTTGGCCAAAGTGACCAAACTGTAGCCTACTTCTTAGAACATCATCAGTGTGCCTTGGTCTTCTCTCTTCATGCTAACCGCCAGACACCAGAAGTTCCTCTGGTCTGAACCAATCATTGGAAGTTTGTTGAACACCAAGCCACTTCATCACTTAGTCCTTCCAAATGAGAAGCAGCACTTTTTAAATTTAAGGATAAACTCTAGCATCTTTTCAGTGAAGTATGACATATCCACCTAGCTCATTTTACAAATGAAAGAATTTTCTCAAAAGAGGAAAACAAACTCACAAAGCAGTAAGAAGATATATAGTCAGCTTTCTCTCTTCTTCCAGTAAATCAAGCAGAAAGGAGTGGTGCTTTTCCAATAAATAAACAGGGTTATCCTCCTTAGAATTCCTGCTTCAGTTGCCCCCACCCCCAGTGGCACAATGTACCCAGCTGCTAACCAAAAGGTTGGTGGTTCAAACCTACCAGCAGTTCTGTGGGAGAAAAATTTGGCGATCTGTTCCCATAAAGATTACAAACTAGGAAACCCTATAGGGAAACTCTACTGAGAATTGACTTGATGGTACACATCAACATTTTACTAAGAAAAAAACTGAAGTATGAAGGAAGATAAATATATATTAAGAGAGAGAAAACTGCAGGATCAGTTGGTAGACTTTCAAGTATCTAGGTTAATCATCTCATTTTTATTCTTTATGGGGGAAATGTACAAGCAAAAGACAGAGAATAATAATAAGATCTTAAAATATATTGAAGAAAGAGTTCCGGCAAGATGGCGGACTAGGCAGAAGGACTGCACAGACCCTCTTCAACAAAGAAAAGGGAAACCAATTAACACAGAC